TATCCTTCAGATAAGTATTCCTCCCAGTTTGGTGGGGGCAGCCAATATGCCTACTTCCATGAAGAGGACGAAACGAGCTTCCAGCTAGTGGACACAGCCAAGACGCAGAAGACGGCCTACCAGAGAAACCGCATGCGTTTTGCACAGGTGTGCCTGTCACCCCGAATGCCTCTTATCTCTGCGACGCATGTGTTGCCCTCGTCCCGCCCTGGAACAGGCTCAATCATGGGCGGTGGCTGTATGGAGGGCGTGGCCTGTTTGGCAGTCAAGTCTGCTCAGCTGATTGGTTGCTGTGAATGTGTTCAGTGGTTTTTGACTGACTGACTTCTGTAACCGACCAACCTTCCTTCCCCAGAGGAACTTGCGCAGAGACAAGGACCGAAGGAACATGACGCAGTTCAACATGCAGACGCTGCCCAAGAGCGCCAAGCAAAAAGAGAGGCGAGTAGGCCGGCTGGACTCGGCATGTTTATGTGGGGAGCATTACGCTCTGAGCCCCTGTGCTACCATGCCACCCCCTGCCGTCACACCAGCCCTGTTTGGTGATGGGCGGGTACAGCACCGTGTAGCTGCACCATGTACTATGTTGGCCTTTTGTTTTTCAGCCGCCTGATGATTTCCGTCAGTTCCCGCGTGTGTCTTTTTTTGGTTTACTATGTTTAAATCTGGATAAACAGTTTACCGAAACGCCAGCCTGACGTGGCACTGTACAGTTCTTCAGTACTTGGTTCTTCATAATTTTATTCGTGCCTTTTTCATAATCTGGTTAGACTTTGGGATAGAACGGAAGAGCTTTCATTTTCCTTCCAGTTTTCTGGTCTGAACCAGAGTTCTTATCTGCTTTTTCAGCTCCAGCTTTAGGCGAAAACCTAAAAGGAAAGAGGCTTGTTAAAATCTGGTATTAGTGTTGCATTGAAAATCAGCCTCATCGTGCACATTCACGAAGATTTGAGGCGGCACGCTTCCCTCGCGCTTAATGCCGTAGCAAACTAAAGTGTAAGCTGTGGTCTCTGGTACACAGCGTGGGACTGACCCCCCTCCGCCTGAACTCCTGTCCGTTTCCGTCTGCCCAGGGATCGCATGCGGCTGCAGAAGAAGTTCCAGAAGCAGTTTGGCGTCCGTCAGAAGTGGGACCAGAAGTCTCAGGTAATGAAATCGATTCTGCCATTTGTGGATTTTTGTTAGACGCCCCCCCCCTCCTGTACCTCCCCTAACACTCTAGCCTCCCTATATTTAACGCACAGCTGAAGCCCAGAGACTCATCAGTGGAGGTACGTAGCGACTGGGAGGTGAAGGAGGAGATGGACTTCCCCAGGTTGATGAAGATGAGGTACATGGAGGTGGCTGACCCCGCTGACATGTGAGTGTTGCCTTTTGGTCTCTGGAGCGCCATTAGCATCCAAAATCAACCCAACTTCAGTTTGCCTTCATTTGTGATTCTCTATCCATTGAGGTTTTGGGGGGGGGGGGCAGTGGGTTTGGGAAGGGAACCAGAAAGGCTATATGTAGTGTTTATTTTTTGTTCTACTTTAATAAACCTTTAATTGGCTCTGTTCCTTTTTTGCTTTACCTTAATATACCTTTAATTGGCTCTTCCTTTTTTTTGTTTTACCTTAATGTACCTTCAATCTGTGCTCCTTTGCTCATCCCCTAACCGCCCCCCCAGCGAGTGCTGTGGTGCCCTGGAGTACTACGACAAGGCCTTTGATCGAATCACCACTCGCAACGAGAAGCCCCTCAAGAGCATCAAGAGGATCTTTCACACGGTCACCACCACCGATGACCCCGTCATCCGCAAGGTAGGCCTTCCCAAAGGGTCAATTGCTTAAGGTGACTAGGTTTGAGATTTGGATGTTTAGGCTGAAGAGGCTAAAGTTGACCTCAGTGGGTTGAAATGCTGTGCCTATAATCAGATGGTCACTGGTTCAAATCCCAGGTTTTACCTGAGCAAGGCATTAAAACCCCCCCCCCTTAAAATGTATGTCACTTTAGATAAGTGTCTGCTAAATCAGTGAAATGTAAAATCGCTTAAAAGACGATCGCATTTAGTGCTGATGTCATTCCTGGGTGTCACTGGCCCTAAGCAGGACGAGCTAAGCAGTTGTAGGGTGGGTCTCTTGGGCTGCGTCTGTTCCCATGGCGCCTGTTGCTTGTGCTGCTGCTTGACTAGTTCCTCCCTGTGCTGCTCCTGCCCCAGCTGGCAAAGACCCAGGGTAACGTTTTTGCCACCGACGCCATCCTGGCCACGCTGATGTGCTGCACGCGCTCAGTCAACTCCTGGGACATCATCGTGCAGAGAGTCGGCAACAAGCTCTTCTTCGACAAGAGGGACAACTCCGACTTCGGTGAGCCGTGCTTCTTTACGTTTATGCTCCGCTTGCTTGTGCTGTATGTGACCCAGGCAGTAAATCCATGTCTGACCTCCTGATCAATTATGATTTTAAGATTTTGAGAGGTCCTCATCCACCGCCTGTCCTGACACCAGGTCGAGGATCTTAACCTGAAATCTAAAAAAAAAAACAAAACAAATTGTCATCTTAAATTTGAATGTTGCTTCGATTGCGATAACTAAACCACACTGTGAAGATGTTTAACAGATTTTAGCAGTGCCTCTGGCTCGCTGGATCTGAGGCTGGTCAGATGTGTGTGGTTTTCCCTGAGTGAGGCTTTTCCTCCCAACACTGTCCTGGATTAGCAATCTGATCTGCTAGCGCCATTTGTCATTAAATGGTATTGAACCTGGCTCTTTGACATCTCTCATTGCTTTTTGTACCCCCCCCCTCCCAGACCTGCTCACGGTGAGCGAGACCGCCAACGAGCCCCCGCAGGATGAGGGCAACTCTTTCAACTCGCCGCGGAACTTGGCCATGGAAGCTACCTATATCAACCATAACTTCTCCCAGCAATGCCTTCGCATGGTAGGTCTCTGCTGTCATCCAGACCCAAATGGGGTTTGTTTACGCCTTTGCTTCTCAAGTCCGGTTCTAGGCTAAAACATAAACGATTCCCTAACTTCTAATCACACATAGTCCCTGTAATGTTAGTGGGCCAAACTGCACTCAATGGACTGCTAATAGATGCAACATATAGGTCTCTTATTTGTATCCGTCCATTTATCATTGACACAGTCATGCACGGTGGTGCACTCGCTCATGGGAGTTTAACTTACAAAAAAATGTTCTGAGGGCAGAAAAAAAAAAACTGCTTCAGAGAGGATAACCAATCAGGTTGTAGAGAACTTGGATCCAAGTAACTAGACGAGGCAAGACCAAGCAATCAGATGTCTTAGTCCCGTCTCCTCTGCAGCCTGATCTGTTATCCTCTCTGAACTAATCATTTTTCGTTCTGCCCTCAGAATATATTTTTCTAAATAAAACTCCCATGAGTGATGCCCTCAGGCCAGAGATATTTATCTCCGAGTTGCTAGAAAGTGCTGTGCTTGGAGAATAGTTACTTTTAAATTGCCGTTTTAGGGAGGAGAGCGGTACAAGTTCCCCAACTCAAACCCCTTTGTGGAAGAGGACATGGATAAGAGTGAAGTGGCTTCTGTGGCCTACAGGTGAGCCGTCCTGCCCTTCCCCGTCCTGCCCTTCCCCGGCCTGCCCCTCCCCGTCCTGCCGCTCCTCTTGCTGTAGGATTGTGTGCGTCATTTTAACTGGGTGGCTGCTGATTTATTTAAACGTTCTTATTGCGTCTTTTGGTCGCTTCGGCTCATGGGGCTCAGGAGGAATTCAGCCTCTTGGTCACAAAGTCCTGCTTCTAGCCATTCCCATTCCTCGGCCGCGCGCCATTCCGGCGCTGTTCCCCCTCGGCCGCGCGCCATTCCGGCGCCATTCCCATTCCTCGGCCATGCAGCATTCCGGCGCCATTCCCATTCCTCGGTCGTGTGGCATTCCGGCGCCATTCCCATTCCTCGGTCGTGTGGCATTCCGGCGCCATTCCCATTCCTCGGCCGCGCGGCATTCCGGCGCCATTCCCCATTCCTCGGCCGCGCGCAGATGCAGTGCTCGTTTCTCCGCAGGTACCGCCGGTGGAAGCTGGGCGACGACATCGACCTGATAGTGCGCTGCGAGCACGATGGCGTGATGACAGGGGCCAGCGGGGAGGTGTCCTTCATTAACATCAAGACCTTGAACGAGTGGGATTCCAGGGTAAGAGGAAGCAAAGCTGAGTGTCTGTTGTCCCTCCCTGTCAGTCACAGCATCCATCCATCGATTAATTTCAGAGTCAGCACCACTGGTGTATCAGACAGGCGGAAGAACAAACAAGATAATATTACCTAGTAATGCTTTTATGTTAAACATTCATGAAAGTCAGTTTGAAGGATTCTCTGAATATACTGTCCCTTGTCTTAAGACTTGTTTCTATGCATAGTTCACTGTTATGGATGACAGTATATGGCTGTGTTTTTCATGTATATATAAATAATTTAATTAATGTAAATTAGTTTAATATAAATACAAGTAACTCTGCATGATAATGGGAATTACAGAGATGCTTGGGGGGATGTCATGTTTGTTTTGTTTGTTACAGTTGGGCTCTTGTACTTGTGGACGGACCTGGGGGTCAGATAGACCCGTGTTGTTACTCAGCCCAGGATGGGCACGATCTGTCCTTCCAGGGTCGTTTTATTACAAATGGAAAAGTACCTTTGTTTTTTAATGATAGTTTTTAAAATTTGCTCCTTTTGAAAAGGGAATTTTGAAAGTGTGTTTGACCTTTATTGGGAAGGAGACAGGAACCGTACATGGTCCCAAGTCGATGGGAAGTCCTCTCAAAGGAGTGTGTGTTTGTGTTTCTGGAGTGTCCCTGCCAATTGGATGCTTGTATTCCTCACCCCCCCCCCCCCAGTACTGCAATGGCGTGGACTGGCGCCAGAAACTGGACTCCCAGAGGGGGGCCGTTCTGGCCACAGAGCTGAAGAACAACAGCTACAAGCTGGCCCGCTGGACCTGCTGCGCCATACTGGCCGGCTCCGAGTACCTCAAGCTGGGGTGAGATATCATGGGGGGGGAGCATAGGGGAATCGGGGGGGTAGCGGTTAGACTTGGCCACACATGACTCACGATAAGCCTAAATATTACGCAGCGTTTTTAATGTACGGACCTCCTCTGCGGATGGAGGCCATGTCTAAGGTCCAGAAGCGCATCTCAGCGGGTCAGACCTGGTGGTGGAGATTCCATGTCTGCTGAAATCGTCATGCATGGCCTTTGATGTTAGGGTGCAGGCCCCGTTCATTTATCTCTAACCACGGCACACAAACTGTAAGCTCATTTCTGCCCTCCTGGTCATTTTGTTCAACATCTTTGTGTGTCACTGGTGATTCTTCAGGGAGGGACAGAGGTTTTAGTCCGTTTGCGAGCTGCTTGTTTCTTAGCCTAAGCTTATGGGTTGAGTAGAACCATAAATAATAAAATGGTGGGGGTGGGGGGGGGGGGGGGGGGAAAATTTTGTTCCTCTGTCCCTATTCCACATTATTCTTAGCTTTTAGTGTTTTTTTTTTTTGTTTGTTTTTTTACAGAATTTAGCAAGTATTTTGAAGTAACTTGCATAATTTATGTGGGTTTAATGGAAACCACAGCAACGAAAAAACGATTACCGAAGCCTTCATACATATTCTACTCTAGCAAGTAGTAGCATTAACCTGTAGCTATAGGCCAGTCCAGTATTAATGCACGGTATGTAGTGGGGATACTGGGTCTGCGTTGGGGGTGTAAACTGAGCAGCCGGCTTCCTGCAGGTACGTGTCCCGCTACCACGTAAAGGACTCTTCGCGGCACGTGGTCCTCGGCACGCAGCAGTTCAAGCCCAACGAGTTTGCCAGCCAGATCAACCTGAGCATGGAGAACGCCTGGGGAATCCTGCGCTGCGTCATCGACATCTGCCGTAAGCTGGACGAGGGGAAGTACCTCATCCTGAAGGACCCCAACAAGGTGAGGCCGCACTGTGGCGTCCTGGCTCAGCAGATGCCTGTTGGATGTTTGGATTTCTCTGGTGCAGTGTGTTCAACAAAGTGCTGACGGGTAACTCGTCACTGTTTTAAGGCAGCTTGTTATTAACTGTAGGTCTTGACGTGGAGCCTGTAAGAGTTAAATGGATAAGTTGTGGGATTTAAGGTAGTCTAGGCTAAACTTAAGTGAACGAAGATAAAAAGGTGTTTCTCAATACCAAGAACGCAAAGATCATACTTGTGGTTTTGGCAAGACCAGTCTTGCTAACTTGCTTCCCAAGAACAAGCTTGGATTGGTCTCATTCAGGGAAGATGCAGCCGATGCGTCTTTGATGTTTGAGTAGGAGCAAGAACCACAACCAGGGTTTTTTACGGTCCTCAGTACTTCTGTTCTTGAGTGTTGGAACTGGTCATCAGGAATGGAAGATGATGTAAACGGGTACGCGAGAACACAAGAACGGTCAAGTACGCATACGGAGAAACAGCCCAATGTCCATTTAAACTGTGCTACCTTAAATCTTATAAGCTATCCGGCTTAGCAAGAAATCCAGCTTTGTAATACATGTCCGTGCTCTATTGGATTCAGTGTACCCTGAGAAAATGCTATGAGGCAACACCAGATTGTGTGCTCATGTGTCTTCTGGTCCACAGCAAGTAATCCGGGTCTACAGCCTCCCGGATGGGACCTTCAGCTCAGAGGAAGAGGAAGATGAGGAGGATGAGGAGGAGGACGAGGAGGATGAAGGTGGAGAGGGCTTTGTTATATTTTACCTACTGGAGCAGAGAGTCTTCTCTGCTTTTCTCATATATAATTGAAGCAAGTCTCTGATGCAAGTACTTCAGAAATAGGATGTAATCTTAAGACTGGTTACTCTTTCAGTTTGGTTGTGAAGTTAAGTAGGTTTGTTCACAATTCATTTTAAGCTTCAAACGTGATCGGGCTGCAGGCGGCATCACATCTCCTCACCTTTTATCTCTCTATTCCATGTCCTTCAGATGAGGAGAACTGAGAAGCGGAGACCTTCGACCAAACAAGCAAACCCCTCCGTGATTATGTAATCCTACATCAGTGGTGAAATTAAAGATTAAACAATATTTCAAGCAATTTCTGTCTTTTGTACAGAGTAAATTATCAATATCAATGGTGTGGGGTGATGATCTTACACTGAGCGTCAAATAGGTGAAGGTTTCAGATGGGTTGGTTATTACATGATGCTGCAGACACTGTTTACACAAACTCTTCTCTCCCAAAGGCACATTTGGGTTTGCAGTTTAAGTACCAAACCTTTTTACTCTCTCTGAGTATATTACTTAAATTTTTGTCGTCTTGGGTGGTAAAGAGATTCATTAATTTTTATTGTATCATTCATAACAGGCTTGTTGGACATAAAAGTAAATTGTTGTAGTGTTACATGCGCATGAGGCTATGCTTCTTTTTTAAAGGACACCGGCGTAAAATTGGTATTTTGGCATCATTCATACAACTAAAACTTCCATTGTCCATAGTCTGGCAGGTGCCTGTCAACCCATCTTCTCCGGGTACGCCAACTTCTGCCCGTTTCACTCTCTCGCGGATGGTGCACTCTGTTTGCTCTTTACAGCTAGGGGGTGCTGGTGGTGTTGCTTGGCCAAGGCTCTACGTGACCAGTGTCGGTGCAGGTTGAAGCCCAAGACCGCTGTATTGTCAGGATGGACTTCACTGCAGTTCCGTTGACCCGGAGCCTCTTTTGTTAGCTAAAATGAATCGTTGTGTGGAAACTGGGGGAGTTTTGTGCTGCCCATGTCACAAACGCTAACGTATCTGGGACGTGGCTCACGGGCTGCCCATGACCTCAGGGCAGTGTTCTCTGTAGTGCTAAGCCGTGCGAGAACGTGCTAAGCCGTGCGAGAACAACGGCCTGAGTCCCCACCCGCCAGGCCCGTGTGTGATTTGGCTCCCGCTTCAGCTCGCACATCTGATGTGCCACTGTGCTCTAAATGCATAGCTTTATGTCTCCTCATAATCTGTGCAAAGACTGTTTTATAGCCCCTTTTTCCCGACACTAAGGAGCACCTGGTTCATTGGACAAGTAATATTTGTCAGCAGGAGCACATCTACCACGGTGTACTTTTTGAGTTATTTCCTGTATTGTAATCTGGAAATGGCTCTGTCAGAATCCCGATAAACACCATAATTCTTATGGGAAAACTGCTGTATTACCTCTACCACAGTTGCTAAGGGAGGCTGTGGGGTCACAAGGATGGGATGCTTAGCTGGTGGGGGTGTGTGTGATGATGACTTGGCTGGTGCTGTGGGCCATGCTTTAGCAGGTTAGGATGTTGTGGCCATGATCAGAAGGTTGCTGGTTCAAATCCCTGGGTTGGCAAAGAAATTCCGCTGTTGGGCCCTTAAGTAAGACTCTACTGCTCCGGAGACCGTCTGACCATATTCTCTCACAAAAAGGTCTGTCCCTTTGGATAAAAGCGTCTGCTTATATCAATAAAATGTAAGTGACTATAAAAAAATGGATGAAAATGTGAATGTTGGAAAAACATCTTGTATAAAATCTCAAGACGCATTGAAGCCTCTAGTACTGAATTGCTGGGGTTTCCTAATATGTGCAGCGTTTTTGTTCATTGTGTCCATTCTTCAATTATTCCATTATAGGTGTCCGCAGGCTTTAATTCATGCTTGTGGTTCCAAGACAAATGAGGATATATTTATACTGTTAGTTGGCTGAGTAGCATGTATCTCATTATTCCTAAAAGCTGCAGGTCAAGCAATGTCCGTGAAATGGCTTCGGTGTGATGATTATAATAGTGATATTGTACGAATCGGGCATTATGTGATCTAACAAATCATGGAGCTAGAGGCAGTAGCTTCACCATCAAGGCGGTTCAGGATGGCACACGGCCGAAATGATGGCATTCGGTCGCGTTTGGCTTGTTTTGCGTTGGGGGTGGGGTGGGGAGAGACACCTTCAAACGTTGAAGGGCAGTCGTGTCCGCTGATGGCCTGTCAGGTTGTCATGCCGTTACCCTGGTACGCCACACTGGGGCAATGTGTCGCCGGGTTTGGAGGCCCGGTCTGACAGGAACCGCTGGCTGGTGGGGGGTTGGGGCAGGGGGGGGGCTGCCCGGCACTGGCTGGAGGCTGGCATGTTATCAGTCATGCTTTGCATCCCAAATAAACCCCCCTGGCAAACTGGTGTTAACCTTGACAGGAAGCATGGAGAGTGACACTCGCCTCCCCAAACCGGTGCCCTGTGCAGTCTGACCCTTACTTGCTCGTGTCTCTGTGCTTTATTCTGCTCTGAACCATCTTCTGTCACTTGTGTGCATATGTGTTGGTATTTATTGCTGATCTGCCTCTGCAATCCTTCATTTGCTCACTGACTCACCCGCGATCTCTCTCTCCCCCCCCCCCCCCCCACCCCCCCCCCCCCCCCCA